TATGCATCATTAATATAGAGAATATTACTGTTTAAAATATATTAAGGCACTTTAAGTGTTTTTACAACGTTTTGTCACACTGTTTAATGATTGAGATATTGCCGCGGGTGCTAAATATGGATTGCAAATGGCCAAAACTTGCATTTTGTTCACATACCTTTGTTTTATTCTTTGGAGAGGTGATCTAAATATTTGCGGCTGTGAAACAGATGGAAAATTGACAGGCTTGTCCTGCAGTTCTATGGATGTTTTGCTCTCCAGGTCTTCGAGCCGGTCACGTGACTGAAAGCTATGAAAAGGAGGTGCCGAGCCATCCTGTAAAGGGAATCTGACCTGAGACCGCCTTGGTTATTGATATATGATACCAACATCATGTTGTCCGCTGGACCAGGATGTGGTGCCCCTTTACGGTGGGCAAGAAGGTTTTTAGGGCCAAGAAGACTGCCATCATCTCGAGGCAGTTGATATGCAAGCATTGCTCTGGGATTGACCAGGAGCCGAATTCGAGATTGCCCTCGAACAGAACTCCGCAACCCCAGTTGAAGGCATCTGTCATGACTACCTTCCTCTTTGGAGGTCAGTCCCACCTGGATGCCTGATTGAAACAGGCGAGGAATTGTCCAGGGGGCCACAGCTCTGATGCAGTGATGGTTACCCTGATGTAAAACTGGCCCAGGTGCCAGATGTGGGACGGGACACGGGCTTTGAGCCAAAATTGGAGAGGCTGCATATGGAGCAGGCCTGGATAAATCACAGGGGAGGTGGCTGCCATGAGGCCAAGCATCCTCTGAAAAGCCCTAAGGGGACGTAAAGTCCCTGGTTTGAAAGATGCCACCAGTCACTGAATAGTCAGATCCACCATCAAAGACCAGTCCTCGGGGAATATTTGCGCGAGAATCTGTTTTAGAGGTAACATCTTGAACGGCCATCTCATAAGTGAGTGATTCAGATGCCTGAGATCGACTATAGGTCTGAGCCCGCCATCTTTCTTTGGAACAAGGAAGTAGCGGCTAAAAAAAGCCTGACTTGCTATTCGCTAGAGGTACTGTCTCCACGGCAACTTTTGCAAGCAGTGTTTGTACTTCTGACCGAAGAACATGCACTTCGTTATCCCATACCGAAGTCTGAATAACGCCTCTGAAACGAGGCAGCCTGCAAGTAAACTGGAGCGAGTAACCTCATATTATAGTGTTTAGAACCTAGCTTGAAACATCTGGGATGGGTTCTCAGCCCGGAGCCGGATGGCAAGTGGTTCTATTTTTTCGAATGGTAGTTTGCCGCCATTGGACAGGGAACTGACGTTGTGTTAATGAGGAGAGGAGAATTGCTTTTGTGGGTCCGCTATCACAGCGGTAGTTTGCTTGGACGTGTGCTGAATGAGAAGGACGTGCCCAGCTTGAATAGAACTTCCATGACTCAGTGTTGAGCGGAGAGCCAGCGCAAGCTTTCTTCAAGGGAGTTCCGGCCTCAGCGAGAACTGATTCTCTCCTTTTCCTCTCAAAAATGCTTTGCTAGGCTCAATGCTCTCGCAGTGAGATCAGCCAGCCCCCATGAGCTCAGCCTCAGCCAGCTCTAAAGCTGTCAGCGATAATACTCATTCGTGACAGCATTCTCTTTCAAGCCCCCTAAAAAGATCAAACTGCTCGTTAGATGAGGGGTGCTGATGATCCTCACGAGTAAACACACCAGCAGATCAAAGTGCTGTGTGCATTCTCTTTTGATCCGCCTAAAAGGATAAATGTGACCCTGGACCACAAAACCAGTCATAAGGGTTAATTTTTCGAAATTGAGATTTATACGTCACCTGAAAGCTGAATAAATAATCTTTCCATTGATGTATGATTTGTTAGGATAGGACAATATTTGGCCGAGACACAACTATTTGAAAATCTGGAATCTGAGGGTGCAAAAAAAATCTAAATATTGAGAAAATCATCTTTAAAGTTGTCCAAATGAAGTTCTTAGCAATGCATATTACTAATCAAAAATAAAATTTTAATATATTTACAGTAAGAAACTTGCAAAATATCTTCATGGAACAAGATCTTTAATTAATATCCTAATGATTTTGGATAAATCAATCATTCAAGAAAAATCTATCATTCTGACCCATACAATGTATTTTTGGCTATTGCTACAAATATACCCCAGCGACTTAAGACTGGTTTTGTGGTCCAAGGTCACAAATCTGCTCGTTGCAGACAAGGGGCGCTAATCCTCGAGCGTAAAACACACTGGCGGATCAGAGTGCTGCGGGGAGAGTGAAGCACACGGGACCTGTGCTGGCATGTGATCACTCAAGTCCGTCAGCCCTGCGACTTCACCGTTTCATCCTCCGAGGCAGCTGGGAGGGGAGAAGCGGGAGGGGCAGGGGGCTGCCTACATTGTAGAAGGTAAACCGCGAGCAAAGCAGAGCGAGACACATGCTCTCATAGTGAGAGCGGTCAGTCTCAGTGAGTGCAGCCTCAGCGTGGGCGTGGCCCAGGCGAGCGGCACACTCAAATCTGAAGTTATCAGCGATATTAAATCATTGGTGACAGCATTCTCCTCGGATCCACCTAAAGAGATCCCACCGCTCGATGCAGACGAGGGGCGCTGATCCTCTCGTGTAAAATACACTGGCATATCAAAGTGCTGTGGGGAGAGTGAAGCACGCGGGACCTGTGCCGGTGTGCGATCATTCAAACCCGGTTGTTCAGCTCCGCGATTCCATTGTTTCTTTCTTCGAGCTCGCTGAGAGAGGAGAAACGAGAGCGGGGCTGCCTTCATTGAAGAAGGCGATTCGCGAGCGGCAGAACAACAACACCCGGACTCTGTTTTAATCGTTCTCTGGGACTTTAATAAAGCCAATCTCTCCCGTGAACTGCCAAAATACAGACAGCACATCACATGTCCCACCAGAGACAGTAATATATTGGATCATTGTTACACCACACTAAAGGATGCACATCACTCTGTTCCACGGGCAGCTTTAGGACTCTCTGATCACTCTTTGGTTCATCTTATACCGACCTACAGGCAGAAACTGAAATCAGCGAAACCTGTATTAAGGACTGTAAAAAGATGGAATAATGAAGCAGAGCAGGATTTAAAAGCTTGTTTTGACCTCACTGATTGGAGTGTTTTTGAAGCTGCTTCCACCGATCTGGACGAGCTCACAGAGACTGTAACATCTTATATCAGTTTCTGTGAAGACATATGCATTCCTACCAGGACTCATCTAACTTACAACAACGACAAACCATGGTTCACTGCAAAACTCAGACAGCCCGTCAGGCCAAAGAAGATGCTCACAAGAAGGGGGACAATGTCTTGTATAAACAGGCTAAATACACACTGGAAAAAGAGATCAGAGTGGCAAAGAGGAATTATTCGGAAAAAATAAGGACTCAGTTCACTTCCAGCGACTCGGCATCAGTGTGGAAAAGTCTAAAAGAAATCACCAATTACAAGACACCATCCCCTTTTGTTCTGTCACTGTCATTCTGTTACACTGTGGAAGCTTCTGTCACGAAAACAAATTCCTCGTATGTGTAAACATACCTGGCAATAAAGCTCATTCTGATTCTGATTCTGATTCTAACTGTCACTTTGTGTCATTTATTTGATTAAACATTTTAATCGTTTGACAGCCCCAAACTTTCCCATTTTGTCATACATTAGTGGAGTAAAAAGACCAAGGTCTATTGTATGGGACCATTTTGAAAGCTTGGAGAACAACGTTTCTGTGATGCATCATGAGAAAAACAGTGAGAATGGCTTAAAATAAACACAATATGCAAATTTGCTTGGAGTCCAACTGTCAAAGAACACGTCAAAAAAAAAAGCCTGAGGAAATGCCAGAAAGTGTGGTGTGTCACCTGTTTCATAACAACTACAGCATGCTTTAAAAGTCACGCATTCATTTCTCATCGTAACACCACCTTGTGCTGGAATGAGGTTGAAAGCACATGATCTCAATATAATCTACCGTCTTCTGCTTAATTTCTCAACACCACTGATCTGAACCTGAAGATGTTTGTGACGTGTGAAAGTGTTTCATGTCCTGACAGCAGATCGATAACATACTGTAACAAGACTCTACTGAGTGCTTCAATACCATGTAAAATTCTGTCCAGCTTCAAGAAATGACCTGAATGACCAGAGAAACATCTGTTAAAGGAACACATGGTGTTAAGGGCTGTATTGTACTTTTAGAGGTGTCAATGGTTAAGCAGACACTACGACTTTTGTTCAGAGTTTAGAATGCATTTGTGTGCTTTTGTTCTGCTGAGCTCGGCTTTGGCTCTTCATCATGCTTTACCTGTGGTAAGTTAGACAGTCATTGATGAAGCGATATACAGCTGCTGATTTGTTTAGACTAAATCGATTCTTTTTAACGGAGTATTGTTTTCATATCTCATGTTCTCAGGCCACATTTGAGGAAACTGGTAAGTTCATCACAGTCACATTGATCTGTTGTAAAGTTATATTAATGTTTCCAGTGTGCAGGATATCTGTTTTGTACCCTGTTTTAACTGCTCGTTACTGCCTGATTGATGATGTGATTGCTCATGAATCATTTTGCTTTCATACTGTTTCACTGAAGGTTAAAAAGTTACAATTTGTCTAGCAACGCACACAATACTCATTCCCTCTTCTTTGTCTTTTGTTGACTTCAATATAATATTCTCAAAGAATTTTATTACAAATGGAGGAGCATTCCGGATATAAACGAAGGTAAAACTATTATCTCAAGAACCCAAATACATTTATATAAGCAGTAAGATAACTATTATCTATTTTTATTTATAAATTATTATTTTTACTCTAAACATATCTACTGACATACGTTTCTATTCATGCATATTTACTGTGAACTGAACACTATTCATGACAAATGGAGGAGCATTCCGGATATAAACGAAGGTAAAACTATTATCTCAAGAACCCAAATACATTTATATAAGCAGTAAGATAACTATTATCTATTTTTATTTATAAATTATTATTTTTACTCTAAACATATCTACTGACATACGTTTCTATTCATGCATATTTACTGTGAACTGAACACTCTTGTAGCATTCGGTTTAAATCTCACAGAAGGAGACGTCATGGAGGTATGTGTGTGTGTGTGTGTGTGTGAGAGAAAGAGTGTGTGTGTGTGAGAGAGAGAGAGT